TATGGGCCTGACCAGTGATTTATAGAGCTGCGAAAACACGTACTGGCTATTAGTTCCGATGGACCGCTTTATGATACCTAGTACCATATTTGCCTTGTTTACCGTTGCAGATACATGCAAGCCCCAGGACAGGTCAGAAGAGATGGTTACTCCTAGGTCCTTAGTGTTCTCTACCGACCTAAATTGCCCCCCCAGCGAGTAAATTGGTTTAGTTTTATCCTTTCTATGTGTAATACGCATGACCTCGCATTTATCCGGATTGAAGTGCATTTGCCATTTATTTGCCCATATACTCAATCGATCTAAGTCACTCCGCAGGGCAGGAATATCAACATCTGGCGAACTGATTGTTCGGTAAATTTTAGTATCATCTGCATAAATCTTAACAGTAGATGTCAAATCTGTTGAGATGTCATTTATGTAGATGATAAACAAAATAGTGCCAAGAATTGTTCCTTGGGGCACCCCGGACTTCACTGACGTCCAATCCGAACACTTTCCTCTAATAACAACGAAACGCTTATCATTGCCGCGGAAAACACAGTTACAGGTCTACCCTTGCCCGACCGAATCACACCAGACTGTCGTGCTATTTCAAAGGGACTTAAAAAAACTTTGTTGTGGATAACGTATTGCGATGTTTCAGTTCCTTTCAACTTCCTTCAGCCTTGACACAAGCAATACAAGCATCCACGTTTCCGCACGACTTTTTTTTAACAAAGAGATCGACATGTATTTTACGACACGCGAACAGCCACTACAAAACCATGCAAGACCCAAAGTACCTCATTCCTTTCCTATATTCCTGTTTTTGTCGGTCGGTCGGTCATCAGTTCGGTCTGAGAAAGCAATCATTTGCAAAAAGCTCGCACAGATTATGGCGTCTCAATCAACAGGTACAGTGTGCGGCAGTCTTAAACTTTTATGACGTTCTTCTTGATTATAATTCATAAACCTCATAAGCCTGTTCAATGTTGAAAATTGACATGATTTTGTAATTCAATCAATTTTACATGCAATCTGAATTCAACTGGGAATGACAATAGAACTCTCTTTCCAATATATTACATACGTACCTAGTTTCAGTAAATCAAATCAAATCGACTGATCAATTTATTATGTGAGCGTACATAAAAGGAAACGTCGGAGTTTATCCCTATCGAGAACACTCCCTACATAAGATATAAAATATATAAACTACAATGTCAAATTTAAGAATCATCAAGAAATGGGTAAAAAAAATTACGAAATTTTGAGCAACTTTATCAAGTTTCCTCACAATTTCAAGCTTAAGCACACCTAAAAGTCTGCTTTGGTGAGTTTGGCAGAGGTGACTAAGGAGGGGAGGGTACTTCTGACCAATCAGGAGTCCACAGTCCACCTCCCTCACCGCTTCCTTAAGGTGGCACAAACTCGATCGGCAATTTTCTGTTTTTAATTTTTATGAAAAGAAGGGTTTTTTAATCTTTTATAGTAAATGAACTGTTTGATTAAGGTTTGAGTTCTTTTCTTGCAGAAAGGCAAACGGTACTCTCCCAAACAATATGGATGAAACTGGACTAGATTCTTCAAGTCAGTGCAAATTCAAATAGGAATAGAACTCATTCTTCACCCTGAGAAATAAGTCAATTATTTCTGCAATCTTCTTCACTTTGCCTTTTGGCATAATTGCTTTGTTCTTCTCTTTCCAGGTAACTATTTTCATGCTCATTCTGCAATGATAGGTACATTTTTTATCTACAAGGGTAAAGATATTCATTCGATATTTTCGTTTCCGAAGAGAACCGGCCAGTAAGTTCGTCAAGAAAAGATTTTAACTTGGGTTCGGCAAGTCAGTTTGGGCAGTCAGGGCGACAAACAGAAATCTCAATAACGCCCCTTTTTATCCTCGTGGTTCCTACAGTCTCTCCCCCTTCATCCCCTAAGATTGAGTGCAAAAGAAGCGGGGAACAAGGCTGATACTAAGAGACCTGGGGACGAAATTGAGAGGAATAGAGACCTGGGGGGGGGTGAAAATTTCTCTGATGGATAACTCCCTATAAACTGAATTCCAACTTAAAGAAAACTTTATCATGACCCCTGGTTATGTTTCTTGAAGTCATTTTTCAGGTTAATGACTCATAGAGGAGAGGGGATCACCAGAAAACGCTGAGGGACTCAAACATCGCAAAATGGTTAAATTTGCTTTCAGTTATCGTTGGTTTACCCCTGTACGACTCTCTTATGATATATATCATTCTCAAACAATGGAAGGCGAGGAGACTGATTATAATAAGATGTTGTATTAGCTATCCGCTCTTACTTTTGTGATCAAATCTGTCTTCCGTATTTTCAACTGAAATTTTCATTCCGTCCTTAATTCAAACTCGACGAAGAGTTTTTACTTATTTTTCTGTGATTTGAAATATCCGGCTATCAGCAATGTTCTCCACCCTGCACGATATCGATTATCAGCACTCTTGGATTTAATCGATGCGACACTCTTCACTTTAGTTTTCGTTATAATGTAGAATCGACCGAACGACTTATGGCCAAAAGCGATTAGAGCCTTGAAGAAATCTTACGCTCACGGTCCGATTGATTGACAAAAGTGACGAGAACCATGTAAATACCATGAGTATCACACATCGGTATCATACTAGTCGTTATTATCGAATGTGGAAATGGTAATTAACATCTATAGATGTATATGTAGCAAAGGATGAAGACAAAAATCAAATTATCTAAAGCTGAATTGGCTAAGATCAACCAAACAAAGAAAAGAGGTATTAATCATTTCCGTGGAAAATATAGGAAATGATGTTTTCACTTTGCAGCATATTTCCTATTAACGATATCTGGAAGGCAAAGGTTCAAACCTAGGCGAAGTAAGAATATTTCTCTTCTTGGAAAACAAATTTCCGTGCTTTTGCTTTAATTTCCCATTTTCCATTGAAACAGTCGCGGTGAAGCGGCCGCTGGCCATCGCAACTGTTGTACCGCTATACCCAAGACTGCTTGCGCGAGAAGACAAGAATTGTAACGTTGTGTTTACGTCGTAAAATTAAAATTCTTGTTTTATTTGGTCTTACCACTCTGACCAGAAGAAAAGGTGGTACATGTATCTTTATCTGAAAGGAATCATTAAAGATGAAAATAACATGTTAATTTCTTATAAGTTTCTCCCTTTAGCCTGTTAACTGTTGTTGACATCGCTATGCGCAAAGATAATGTAATACTGAGCTACGTAAGATCACTGTGGATGATGATGTTCATTTTTCATAGTTTAATTCCTTTACTTTTCCAAGAAAATAGGTAACTAATTTCCATAACAACCGAGGAACGAACTCCATGAACAACAGACTCACGAGTGAGATCATCACGTGAGCGCTATGCTCCCTCCCTGTTCGTTAGCAACGTCCAAAGGAAATCAGGATAGGGCCAGGCATAAGTCTTGTGAGAGCCAATTTTTTTTCAAAGATTTTGTTTTTTGAACAATCGCTTAAGTACTTTTCCCTGTGAGGGTCAGTTTGTCCCAAGAACAATAGCGAATTGTAATCTTTGTTAGGTAGTCGAGAAGGCGAACAGTAGGCATATTTAGAAAACACACATCATGGTTTGAAGGTATTTTAAAAGACAGTTATATTAGAAACGTTCCGTCAAAATCCCAAACATAGTTGCTTAAACGGTGCATTTTCTGAAACGCTCTTCAAACCAAGATAAAAATTGAAAGCTTCGGCTATGAAGTGTGGACGGAGCGAAATTAGGAAAACAGAGGTTTTTGAAAACACTGACGTAACTACTCTTGGCATTTTTTTGTGGAGTGATTATAAAGGCATTTTAGGGGTTTCTGTGCCAACTTGCTTTAGGACGCAGTCAAGCGTTTCTACGACCAGTGATTATATCATTTACATTGTAAACCCTGTATTGTGTCAACGCAAGTTCAGTCGCTATCAATGCTTATTTTTTTCTAACATTTCAGACTGATATATCAAACGATGGCCGTTCGATTAAAAGGTTCTTCCTTTTCCATAAATTGTTGAATAAACGATTTACTCTCTTAGTCATCTTGGATTAACAAAACTGCAATGGTTAAAAGATTTAATGAAATTGACTGAAGCACGGAATAACTATCATGAGCTTTGCATTAGAATGTCAAGAAATGAATTTTATTTATTATTTGAAATATGAGAAATATTGTCTCAGCTGATTCTTGGAAATTCTAGCGAAAGCTTCACCATTCCCGAGAATAGAAGCAAATATGCCAGCGGAGTATGCTGTTAAACCTACTGGAAAAAACAAGTCGGAGATTTGGTGGAAAGTTAGGTCAAAACTGCCGATGAGCTAAAACGATTGTAAAAAAAATATGAGAAGGTAATCTAAACCACTTTGTTATAATTACTTTTCATTTTTATCATTCTCTGTTTCCCAAGAGAAGCTTAAGGGGAAAGAAAACTAAATTTGTGTTCGTGTTTCGGGTACGTCTCCCTTCCGGTTTTCCAGGTTTCCATGTAACAGTTCGTTTCACATTCCTTTTGCGCGACTTTCAGTTTTGGTCTTCATCATCTAGAAACTGCCGAGCGATAATTCCTAGATGTCGTGATACGGCTCTCTAACAATCGATAATGTTCTTAGTTCTTTGGCTCTATTCGCCAACAATCACACCAATGAACAATAAGAGATGCTTGAAACACCTCTGACAGATGGATTCATCATAGAAAGTAATGGCTTCACCGTAGTATTTACATTAGATCCTGGGTAGCAGGAAAGCCGAACAAAAAAGCAGGGGACGAGCGAGCAAATAACCGTGATCTCTTTCTTGTGCGAGTCGAGATAAACACCAGTGTCGGGATTTGTAAAATTCCCATAACACAAGCTAAACAAGACGAACCCTTTTCTGATCTGCAGATAAACTGACAAAACAAGCTGTAAGCCCCTTTGTGATTTGTCCAGTATCTTGTCCGTTTTGCTTCAGTACAAAACAAAACAGCTTACAGGACCGCTCCCGTTCCCCTTTCCGTTACATTCTTGTTGCCCAATTTGTCTAAGAAGTGTCAATCCCAAAAGTAGTCGATGAAAATTATAACAGAAAACTGTTTAAACCCTTTATCCAAACCGCACCATATCAGTTTGCCTCCCACAAATTATTTTTAACAAAGCCATAACTACTTTTAATGAGAAAACGTAAGTGTCTCTCTTTAAACCATGAACGACGCTGGAGGTTTACAAGGCTTTATATTATTTCAGGAAATTATTTCCATTGCCAAATGAAGCTAACTTCCTGTAAAATTCCGACGATGAATGCTAAGGAGTAAATCAATTTTTAAATCATTGGAAAATTATTCGGCTTAATTTACGAGGTTTAAAATATCTCGCAACAAGTGCAATATGTCAAGGAAATCCGTCATAGTGAAACTGTCATTCCCTTTTCAACAAGAACGAATAAAACATGCCAAAAAGTAAACAATTACTGTTATTACATGAAGAAAATTAACAGCACTTTATTATATGAAACAAACATAAAAAGAATAGGCAAACAAACCAAAAAAGGGTTAGCATCTATCTCACCATCTTAGCAAATCAGCGTAATTTTGCAGTAATAACATCTATGACTGGGGATCTCATAAAGATATGACTACTGAAAAACTAATAAATGTTATACGTCATTGGCTCAATGCCATAAGGAAGTGAACACTCAGAATGTTCCAGCCCTTATTTTGATCAAATATCTCCTCTCTTCAATTGAGGAATGCAGATCAGAATAGTGAGCACAGTGCACAAGCCAAATGAAATGGACGTCAGTGCCATAGTCTCAGCCTCGTGATAGTTCTCAGCTTCCTTCTTCCTCTCACCGTGTCCTCCAGCCTTTCGAGCCTGCAATTGGAAGATCAGGGCCGGGTTGTTCAAAGCTGTGTTAAGATAACCCAGGGTTAATGTAAAATCTGATTTCAGATCTGAAAGCTTTAAAAGGAAATTCAGTGGAATTCTTTTTGTCTACAACTTGGTGATTGGATGCTCTAAAAAGTGTAAGGAATATTATCCAAAAAAAGACTTTTAAACAAAGGATTAAAGAAACCCTGACTAGAATTTAACCTTGGGTTAGTGCTAATCAGCCTTCGAACTACTGGGCCCAGGAGCTTAAACACAGCCCTCTAGAGGGTTTTCCTCGACGGTGTACAAACTTACGATGGGGCTTCTTTTTGAAAAAGTAATAATTTTAAAATGAGTGTACTATCCGAGGAGCTAAATGATTTCCTAACTGAGTGACGAAATAAACGAACGAATAAATAAATACATGAAAAAGTGAATGAATGATTGAATGAACCAATGACTGAATGCGTCGATGGATAGATGGATAAAAGAAAAGTGAATTACTATAAAATAGTAATGGTACAATAATGATTAACGATTGTAATGGTAAGGACGGTAATGGTCGAGGTATGGTATTGGCAGTGACTATTGTAATGATAGTAGCAATGTTAGCGTTGTAATGAGATTAATAATGGAAATGAAAATGGAGATGTAGGTAACTGGATGGTTATGATATTCATTACAACAGCATTAATAACTGTAGTAATGGTGAGATATAATGGATAAAAGCAAACACCGATGGAGGACAGAATAGATGGAAAAATTTGCATGGGAAAGATGAATAGATAAATAAATGAATGAATAATGCCCGCCTGCAGAAGTGCAGTTGCAAAACAAATTTCTTCTTCCCTTACTTTGCTCGAGGTCGAGAACATATCTCAGACTTACCAAAATCCAGAAAACAATTGAGACGATTCCAATGGGGAAAAGGGTCAACAGAGACAGCAAAACAAGAGCAGTTCTTGTGCCATCATTGAACAGCAGCTTCTTGCAAGCCTCCTGTGTGTTAAAAGACAGAAAATAGTCTTATTTCTTGTTCAAATTGACGAATCTTTGAGCCATTTCATTTCAGAGCCCAATTAAGGTGATATAATCCTCAATTACAATTTAGCCTTAAGCTTATATCATTCTGCGATCCATTGTTCGACCGATGCAGTAGAGCACTTCTCAATCGAGTGTCGAAAATACTGCCTGATTGTAATATTTTTGCTTTGCACAGCTCTGAGACGAAATCTCGAAAACCTACTCTATCCTCTCAACCAATGAGATGCAACACTTTAACTATTTTTGACTTAGTAACTCACATATTCCTGCGCATGAGGTCATTTGCATAAATTTATTTTCCTTATTGATTAGAAATAGATTATCCTTGTAAATCATCCTTGATAATAACTGATTATTATGCTGGATTGCTTTTGTTTACTGACACTTGATCAACTTTGCTACCATTATTTACCTATTTCCTTATTTTTACATTGATTTCTTTGCAGTAACAATTAATTTAGTTATGTTCTCCAAGCAATTCATTTACCCGGTATGCGGCTTCTTCTTCGACTCTGCTGTGATCCATTTTTCAGCTACTGTTGAATCAAAAATGAAAGAGAGGCTCATTGATTTATATATGTAGTTAAGTGTATACTCGCATAGCTTTTTTCCTTTGTAGCAATTGTATTCTCGTACAAGATGCATTCTTTAAGCCTGTTCCTTTTTTCCGTCTAAACTGATATATTTGTGACATTTTTAAAGGCGGACTTTGACCTCAAGCGCGAGATACCATATGTGAAAACGAAATAAGCTGAGTCTATCTCTCTCTCTTTCGCTATTATTGATAAAAAATATTATTGGCAATCAAATCTCTTTTCGAAGACTTATAAGTTAGATTTTGTCATTTGGTTCGATCTCCAGATACTCATTCATTCATTTGCTCCCTCGTGCTAGATGTTTTACCAGTATGGTAAAATTCATTCAATCACGAGGTCGAGACAAAGAGGAAGATAGTAATCATATTTGTATAAATTACGAGAGCGCTTGTGAATCGCACAAAGTGTTACTCCCTTCTTTTGGAATATGTGCAATTTGAAATGCGAATGAGTTGGGCATTAGTCCACAAAAAGAACTTTAATAGTGAAATTTCATTCTAAAGGAGGACTATATCAACACGAGTGCGAAGACAATGGTCCGTTGTGTTACGCCTGAGAGCATTAATACTGTCTCACTATTCATTGCCACGTTGCGAAATTTGTGCTGTACTAATTTGTCTTCTCGATTAGATTTCGTTCGCAATGTTGTTAAATATTTCTATAGGAAGCTTTCTCGAACATCGTTTGTTAGTTTTGAAAAATTGCATTTAGGAATTCGACCATAATCTTGACAATTACTTCTGTTGTTATGGTGAATGAATGGGGGAAATCAAGTGAACACATTTCAACCTACGCTACAGTGAAAAGTCATTATCATCATATGCTCCAGAGTTTACGAGAAAGTGAGGATACCGCATGATAACTGCTTTCAAGTTGCTAAGGAAGAAGAACGACAACACATGCACAAGTAACATGAGCTGATGGCCGCCTGTTCATGGCATTAATCAAACACGCAGACTACTGCAGAACTTGGCGGTAAAACTAAGTCAAGTAAACAATTTGGCCATGCTCAGTAAAACCTTAGCCATAAACTGAGATCAATCGAAAGATTCTAGGACAGTCGATTGTATGTAATCTTCTAGACGCAAGAGCACCCCAATTTCCTGTGTTTGTCACACTGTTTCAAGGAAATTAGTATTTCAAACTGCAATCCGTCGATCAATTTCCCTCAACGGTTGCATAAGAAGTCACGATATATATAAATACACCTTAAGGAAGGTTTGTGCCGTAAAAAAAACCACTAGTGATCAGCTCGAAGGAATGGACATGACGTAAATAACATTTTACTACAAAATCGAGTTTAAAGTTTAAGTAGTGTTGGCACATTCGTCTGTAGTAAATATTGCGTTATCTACCGAATCCCGCGGGTTATGCCGACTGTTCTTTTACTACTGTGTATTGATCTTCAATCAAGAATGCTGTTTATGCACTCAAGAAAGGAGTCAGCGACGTTTCTTTGTGTTTTTAAGAACTGATGGAGCCCAACTCCGCCAGAATTGAGTCTAATTTACGTCTGTTAAGGGTTGTTACACGATCGCCAAAAATGATCGAGCAGTCGACTGAGTGTTCGAGTGTTTTACTACGGCCGAATATATATGTTACTGGTTACCTTTTAAGACAGACGACTTTGCTTCTTCTGGGGAAACTTTCTACGCTTTACGGAAGACCTTTCAACACGTTTTCCTTGCTGTTGTGACCGTTTAACGGGCGGGAGAAGATCGAGCCGGTTTCAGGAAGCACACAAGACAAGAGCGTGACCCTTCGTTCTCAATAGCGGCGCGGGGTTGATTGTGTTGGCATTAGCATGAATGGAATGCGCCAAGACGTTTAATGAGATACAGGATATTTGCATGATAATACAAGACACGAAGAGATGAGCATGATACATAATAAATTAGTTCAAATTGTTATGGACTTTAATAATAACGTGGAAACTGTAAGAGAATCGCTGCTTTCCCATATATTTACATTAGCTGTCTATTTTACAACTGTTGCGGTAGACATCGAATAGCGTGAAACCACAAACGTAAACACTAACACTGACATTTGTTGTACCCTTACTGGGCATGCGTCAGCTAAGGCCAAATTTGTATGTTTATTCATGTTTGGTCGTGTTGTGAACAGAGCCCGTACCACTAGCAGAACTTACCATGGCTGGAAGTTGAAGAACGAATCTAAAAAAGTGAAGTAAAAATTGCAAATGTGTTTCTGTTTGGAACTAACACAAAAAGAAATGGTAAAAGAGTAAGCAAAATGATCAGCGAGCCTACAGGGTGTGCTTCTCGCCGAACCGAGCTTCGTTTCCCTTAGAGTATCCCTTTGTCTTTGACCCATCTGCCGACGGTTCTGTTTAACATAAATAATTTCGTTTTGTTCGACCCCGAAGAGGAACGTGCTCGGAAACCAAGAAGAATGCTGCACGCAAGTTGCGGCAGTTCATCTGTCACGCCATCATCAGTTGTGGAATATTCAAGAAAGGTTGAAGTGGCCACAGATCTTCAACGCCATTAAAATTTATCATATTCTTGAAGTTTAGCTGACTCAGATTTTGTTGAAAACCTTCAACTTATCTCCGCTTAAGCAGTTTTTTCTCTGAGTGTATCTGTTTCTCGGTTGGATACCTCTTTCTCCGCCTCTCAACAATTCAAGAACGGATGTAAATATTTACATAATTGAACTACAAAAGCTCTAGAGACTGGATTGTACTTCAATCAAAATTGTTCAGCTCTTGCAACAATTCGCTGTCTTGCCTTATCAAGGAGGATTTGGTTTTTTTTCTCTCTCTCTCTATCCGAGAGAGTGAAGTGCAAAACAAAAAACGCGACGAGCAAGAAAAATACTCACCAACCTAATGCGTGATGAGAATTCGTGACCTTTGACGAAATATTTATAGCACGAGAATAATGTTATTTACTAAGCATGAGTATACGCATGTTTAGTGGCTGAGACTGACCCGTGAATTCACTCGCGCGCTTTTTCCCTTCTAAACGTAAATTTCCTTAGCCGCCAAGGAAATTTACTTGGAACGCTTAAAGAAGATACTTGCAGAACTTTAATTTCGACCTTTAAAGAACGTCTGGGACGAATCCAAACAAGTATCATAGTTGATTTCGAGGTTAGTTCAAGTCAAAGATTGCGAGGCGCGGAAATTGCTTATTTAAACACTGTAGTAAGTGCTGAGTTATTCAAGTCGAACTAGAAAGGATTGTTCAGAGAACGATTTGAAAGGATTTTGAAACCAAATAGCCATAACTATCGGTAAGTAAGGCTATGAAGAGGCTGGCAATGGCGTTTACGTAGAGAAACTAAATTGAACGATAGTTATAGTCTGAGATAGTAATATGATATGATAGCATACCACGGTCATATTAGATAATCATCTGCACATATTCATTGAGACCTTCGGTCGACTGATAATCATTGACCCTAAGGTAATATCCACACACATATGACATGTATACGTTTGTGTTCGTCTGCGTCTTCAAAGTTTTCTGTCGACACGTAAGCGACGAAAAGCGACTTTCCACTCTGGCGGGCGTTTTTCGAAAATTTACGTTCACCTTTTCTTTTCCTTCATACGAGGGGAAGGGAGGTTAAAATAAAAAGAATGAAAAACTTGTGCATATGTCTTAAGAGACAATAGCTCAAGCACGTAAACTTTGTTGAATCTTTCTTAAAATTCTGCATGATTACGGGTATGATGTTGATGATGTCAATTTATTCCGGTTTGCGACGAAAAACTCGTCATCTTTATGTAGTGAAACTGTTGCTATTGTTTTCATATGGTTTCCATGCTTTTTGATTGTGCGCAGTAAACAACAAGCTTTCCGGTGAATTTAACTGTTTAGCGGTAAGGTTTACGTATAGTTTTCCCATTCATTTTTCCACCGCTGAAATCCTCGAAGCCTGATAAACTAAGCATTCTGTTTAACATTTTCAGACTTACGCTTTTTGAATAGAATTATTTGTCCCTCTGTCATGCTCGGCTGTCTAAGTATAGAGGCACCTTGTTGCGCTTTTCAATCTATAGATCGTAACTCCAATACTAAACATACTTTTATCAGCCTTTCTTACTGTCACCAGCAGTGGCCATCTCATCATGCCACCAAATCGAAGATAACCGCGAAATCGGCCTAAAAAATTCTGGCATCGTGTTACGGGAAGACGAATCAAGTTCCCCGTTTATAGGTTTTTTTTGTTTGGCGCTTTGTTCGAAACATTTTTGTCTAAGTTATGAGCCAAGTTTCTGAACACAGAGCTAGGTATGACTTCATTTTATCTTTATGCCCAGTTTTCTGCAGGGGAGGCCAGACAATCCCGCTTACAAGTTCTCGTGACTGTAAAACGCAATGTCTTTGGACTAGGCGTGGTAGAGCATAATCACATGTAAGATTAACAATACCCACGCTGATTTTCAGCCCAAAGGGCGTGTTTTTTAAATTTAACCTTTCAGTACCCTTGAGAATTGCCACATGTGCTATCCAAGAGTTTAAAAAACCGCGAAATGGGAGTTAAGAAAGTTTACTTGCCTGATTGAGTTATAAATAGCTTTTTTGTCTTCAGGAATCGAATTAATTAATATCCAAAATGCAGAGCGGAGAAACGGCCCTGGAAATGGAACAGGTAAGTCACATTTTGCAGTTAAACTCAATATTCTGTTGCAGTTGAGGAACAAATGTCACCGCGTCATTTTGAGGCAACTACAATGTTGTTCAAAATCATTGACAACCTATTGAATTCAAGGTGTAAAAGTAGATACTTTAATTATTTCCTCTCTCCTCCCTCCCCTCC